CATCCCCCCTTGTCCGCATCCCCCCTCCTCTCTCTCTCCCCCCCTCTCGCCCCCCATCAGCACGAGCACTTTCTGCAGCTGGTGCTGACAGAAGTGCGGCGGCCGTCGTTCCTGGCGACCGCAACGCTGCCAGCCAGCACGAGCAGCACGAGGCGCGAGTGGAGCAAGCATGCGCTGCACGCGTTTGACTTCACCGTGCACAGCCACACACTCGAACGCCCCGATGACCTGCCTGCTGCTCGCTTTCACTACCTGCTCTCGCCCATGCAGGTGTGTGTGGGAGGAGTGTGGGAGGAGGGAGGGGGGGGGAGTGGGGAAGTTAGGAGGAGAGGGAATGGAGTTTTGTGCGTTTGTGCATGCACACATGCACGGACAAGTGCGCATGTTTGTGTGCGTGTGCATTCTTACAAACATCGGGTCTTGCATGTGTGCGAGCATTTGACTACCCCTTCGCATTGGCGCACTTAATTTGTGGTCCTCACATGCATCATAACCATCGTATATTGAACTTTATGGCATTTCATGTGATCTTCAATCACTCTTTTAGAAGCCTCAAAAGCATCGAGCTGTTTCATGCATGAGACCGAGCAAGCGCGTGTGATGCTGTTTGGTGCAACCCCACCCTCTTGTGTGCCTTCCTTGTGCAATCCTGCTCCCCAGGTGGTTCTTACTGAGACCAGGCCTTCCCTTGCCGCCTTCCTCACCAATCTTTGCGCCATCATTGGAGGAGTCTTCACGGTCAGTTTATGTGTTGCACTACAACAACCCGGCCCCCCTCCCCTCCCCCTCTCCCCCCTCCCCCCACCCCCCTCACCCCGCACCCCACCCTCCCTCCCGCCCCCTTTTTCAAATGGAAATTTGTGATAATTCGGGGATAAATACATGTGTGCTATGCACACAATGCACGCATACGTATTCACAGACACGCACACATGCACGGCCACGTATGCTGTGCACGCATCAGGGTGCATCTGTTTAAACTTGAATGGACCAAATGGGTGTGATCGGTAGTTAGTCCATGTATCCGAATCCATTTTGCATGGAGCTGGTAATTGCATTTCTGTCTCCTAGCCCAGTGCATCCACTTTATGACCTCTTTTTTCTGATTACACCCCTTGTGCGTTTAGGTTGCTGGTATTGTGGATGGGATGCTGCATGGTGCGGTTCGTGTGGCCAAGAAGATTCAACTTGGAAAGCATTCCTAGAGCAAAAAGGTTACCATTATTTTGTTATCAAATATGCAATTGTGGTTCCTCAAGATTCCGCAGGAGATGTGTTTTTTATGTTTCGGCTATGTAGCGTGAGCTGCTGGGAGCTGAAAAATTGACAAGCACATCCAGTTAACAGTGCAACGAATCAACAACGATAAACTGTGAACTATATTGTTATGGCCGTTCAAGCATTACTATGGAAATGGGATGTGTTTAGAAAATGTGCTGTACTGAAAGGAAAAGCGGGACAATTTAAAGCCAGGATCTCAAGTAGTTCAATTGTTTTGCAGTTGGTGAGGGGAGCTGGGCTGCGATTGGTTAGCGAGGTGAACAATCTGACGAGGTGTGAAGCGAGGGGTGCGAAGTAAAGACAAATCGCAAATTCAGTCCGAACCAAGCAAGGCTCGGAAACTGGTTCGGTGACGAAGCTCCAATGCCTGCAATTTCTCGTCACACACAACAATCTCATGTACCAGCAAAATGTTTTGCATTTGCTCTAGGGGCAAAATCGTGGGTGTGCCGCACGCTCACTTTCCTAACCAGCCAGTCAATTCGCCTACAAAAATAGGGTAACAAGCGCTGCAAGTGTTTTGCAATTGAAGGCCAATTCTCTTACTTGAGATCCTGGCTTTAAAACCAGGGTGCACATTCAACGCGGTTCGGCTTGAGATGTTGGGAAGGGGGTTTGGAGAAAAACAGTGATTGGCTCACGAGGGGCGACAAAAAAATGATTCCGCTAGAGCTTCGGGCATTTCGTAGGTGGCGGGAGGGGGTGAAATGGCGGGAGTGGGTGAAACCGAATGGCGGGAGGGATGAAACAGATTGGCGGGAGGGGGGGGAAACGAAATTGCGGGGGGGGGGGGAAACAAAATTGCGGGGGAGGGGGGAAACGAATTTCGACGGGGAGGGGGAAATGAAATTGCGGGGGCGTGGGGAAACGAAATTGCGGGGGAGGGGGGAAACGAATTTCGACTTGAAGGGGTTGAAAGCACACCTCGTAACCCACTCAGTCAAGGGATAACCTTTGATGCACATTCAGCTGAATGTGCACCCCGGTTTTAATAAATTTGGGTTGAATGCGCCGCGATTTGACATGGGAGGTGTGGTGTTAATAATTCGGTCTATAATTCTCAAGGCATGTTTCTTCAACTGTACCGGCTGTTGTGACATGGGAACTGTAATGGAGCACGCCTTGCCATGGTTCTTGTACTGCGAGTCAAACCTCTTTCGTGCTTATTTGTCGTATGCGCGCTGTACGCGGAGGAGAGGCATTCCCCAGGGGGGAAATGGATGAGCTTGAAAGCTGACAGATAAGTTATGCTCGACAGGTGGGGGCGTTGGGGTCGGGTTTCGTGTTTTCCAGGTCAAGACTTTCTGGATTTCGTGTTTTCCAGATGTTCCAAATCCAGAAAGGAACATCTGCTGTTACCAGGCGGTAAATTTCATTGTGAAATGCAACCCTTGGCGAGGTCTGTCGTCATCGAAGCCACGAAACATACTTTCAAAATCCACCAAGGAATAGCGCCCTACAACCCTGTGTTTTGCCGCACGAACCGTTTTGTTGATTTGCAGTTGCGCGGGAAGCAGAGTCCAGCAGAGCAGAGCAGCAGCACCAGGTGAGCGAAAATATGGAGGGAGGGAGAGAGGGCGTGGAGTTGAGCCAACCAATCCCGACAGAGGGGACCCCCCAAACCAACCCCAAGGGAGTCAGTCAGGTCTGGCGGCTCCTTTCAGCTGCTCCACCCAACTGCGCCATACAGCATGTTACCACCACGTTGCACAAACAAGAGTCTTTCACAAAGCAGCAGGAAGCGCGTCGATTTCTCGTCAAGACAACGAGGATTGCGGCGCTCGCTGCGCCCTGCTGTAGTGACGAGTAGCTAGACTCAGAACGGCAACCACGCTTCAACTTTTCCGGTCCATTCGAGTGTCCAGATGGATTAGGTCTGTGATTAATTTTTCCTCGTATGTTTCTTACGCTTAGGCTGGCAACGAGACAGAGGGTCCAGGAGTATTAACGGGTGAAGTGTATCGAGCGGCGTGGTTTGGAGGCTAGGAGGGATAGTGGCTGGTCTGCCGACAGCGTCGAATGTCCTGAATGGCTTAGGTCATGTTGATGTCTACGCGGCGACAGTTGTGTACTGCACTTCCCAAAGCGCGGCAAGTCCGCTAACAAACAACCATGAAAGTGACTGCATCCTAGCTCTTAATCCCTCGACAATTTTCGCGGGTCGTCTCTTATTCGTCCTTCACCGCTCGTCCCATCATAATGGCTTGGTTCTTGGCCTGCAATGACCGGTCTAATCACTCATCACCGGGCGCGTTGATGCTTTAGAACGCTGAGGCACAGGGATGGTGTTACAACGAATCACGACGAATAACAACGAATAACAGCGAACCGCGAGAGGGGGCGAAGGCTGATAGTCGTCAGGGAAACGCGAGAAATGTTGCAACAACGGGAATGCCGCGCTTAAGCGACCGTGAGTGACGCTTAAACTACTGCAGGCAATAGACGGCATTACTTTAAGGGAGGAACGCGATAGAGGGAGGCGAGTGTGGCAGGGAGGAGGAGGAGAAGAGAAGTGGGACCTTGAGGAGGAAGAGGAGGAAGAGGAGGCAGAAGAGGAAGAGGAGGAAGAAGAAGAAGAGGAGGAAGAGAAGAGGGTGGAGGAGCGGCAGCAGGTGCGTGATTATGGGATGCGGGTCGTCGTCCCTAAAGCATGCGACGAGCGACGAGGGAGTCGACCCTGCGACGCTGAAAGCGACCGATGCGAATCACCACCGGCACCAGCAGCACCAGCAGCCGCCGCACCAATCGCAGCAGAATGACGGGGAGGGAGCGGGAAAGCGTCAGCACGCGGACGAGGGATCCGGCAAGACCGCTGCTATAGGCGCAACGGTCCCCGCCGTTCCGAGCGGCGAGGGCGACAACGAGAATGCCCGGAAGGATGGCGGAAAGGCCGGCGGTCCGTGGGGAAAGGGGGAGGGGGCGGCGGAGGACAGTGGCGTAACAGGGGCGGAAAATGCTTCCTCCAGGGAGAAAAAAGGAGCGGAGGGCGGGCAGGCGCAGCAGGAGCATGAGCGGAGGCCGAGTGGAGGGAACTACAATCTGGACAACAAGGGGGGCGGGGGGAGCGCGCGCAGCAGTAACAGTGACGGCGGGGGGGCGCGGGAAGGGGGAACGGCGGCGCATATGTGGCAGCACGTGCACGGCGTTGCGATGCGCATTATGGGGCGCTCCGCCAGCGATGAGCGGGACGGGAACGGGGGGGGCGGAAGGAAAGGCAAGGAGAGCTCGGGGGGGTCGGGGAGAGATAAGGAGAAGGAGAAGGAGCGGGAAAGAGCCAAGGGGAAGAGTAAGGCGGATAGAGAAGCGCGATCGAGAGAAAAGGTGCGTGGCTGGGTGGGTGAGTGAGTGGATAGATGGTTCTCCAAAGGTTTAGGCTTCGAGATGCCTCAGGAACTGTGGAGAGAAAGGTTGGGTGGGTGAGTGGGGAGAGGAGGGGTGAGGAAGAGGTGAAGTGGGAAGCTGGTCGGTGCATATAATCAGTGTGGGCGCGTGACTGTTCTGCTGCATCAATCAACCTCCCTACACACTCTCGGAACGTGTGCGATGAATTCATATTTGTGTGGTCCAATCCAATCCACTCACCTCCCCTTCATCCATCTCCCCTTCCCCTCACTACTCTTTCCCCCCGCCTTTCCCCTTTCCCTTTCTCCCACCTATTCCTCCGCATGGCTTTCCCCCTCCTGCCCCTCTTGCTCTCCGTGACTTTAATGTGTGTGCAGAAAGCAAAGCAGGCTGCATATGATGAGAGGTACTTACTCTCTCTAGCAATCCCGTACCTCCACCACCTTCGAAGCACCCCCGTGCCACTACTATCCTTCACGTTTTGTCATTAATATTGGCTGGCGCACCATCGACACTGCGCATGTTGCTGCATCTCATACCCCCCCCATCCCATCCACTCATCGCTCCCCCGTCACGCATCTCCCCATCCCCCCTCCTAACCACCCCTTTCCCGACCTGCACGTCCCAATGCCCTCCCCCTGCCACGGTCCCTCCTGTGCTTCGCCCGCCCCTTTCCTCTTCTTGCCGTCCTGCGTGAAACCATTTCCCCCTTTGTTCCTTCACGCGTGCAGTTTGAACTGCATGCTCAACACGCCAGTCATTCCCTGCGTGGGAGCCATACGCCAGAACGGCCGGTAAGCTTTTGTGCTGTCATGTGCTGTCACTCGCCCCACCCTCTCCTCCCCTCCAATCTCCCCTACACGTGGTTTCATGTATTTCGTTTTGTCTTGTGAATACGCCACTGAGAGTTTTGTGCATTTTGACCATGCCAACTCTGCCCTGAAAACCCGCCAGTACATCAGCTTTATACCCCCTCTTTCTTCTTGTGTGCGCTCGTGCAACTCATATGGTAGTGTCTTTACAAATGTGGACGGGATGATTGACCCGTTCCCTACACCCCTCCCATTCTCTCTCCTCGCCACCTCCCCTCCCCCTTCCCCCCTCAACCCTCGTCCCGTGGCAGCATCGAGGTGATGTCGTTTGAGGTGGCGCATGTGATGGTGCATTCACACATGATGTGCACGGGTGGCCCCCCACCTCCCCACACCACTCCCTGCCCCCTTTCCCTCTCCCCACCCTCCCCCCTTCCCCTGGTGCCCGTGGCAGCATCGAGGTGATGTCGTTTGAGGTGGCGCATGTGATGGTGCGGCTGGTGCAGCTGCAGCACTCGCTGCAGGACACGCACATGGCGCAGCTGGCCTCCGGCGTCATTGCCTCGCCCGGCATCGCTGCCCTGGTCACCGCTGACACCGACACTGCCTGGCGCATCGCTGCTCTGGACCGACTGTGAGGGCGGGTGGGCGGGCAGGAGGGGAGGGAGGGAGGGAGGGAAAGAGGGAGGGTGAGAGGGTGGGAGGGCGGGAATGAGGGAGGGAGGGACGGAGGGTGGAAGGGCGGGAACGAGTGAGGGAGGGAGGGAGGGAGGGAGGGAGGGAGGGAGGGAGGGAGGGAGGGAGGGAGGGAGGGAGGGAGGGAGGGAGGGAGGGAGGGAGGAAGGGAAAGAGGGAGGGAAAGAGGGAGGGAAAGAGGGAGGGAGGGAGGGAGGGAGGGAGGGAGGGAAAGAGGGAGGGAAAGAGGGAGGGAAAGAGGGAGGGAAAGAGGGAGGGAGGGAGGGAGGGAGGGAGGGAGGGAGGGAGGGAGGGAGGGAGGGAGGGAGGGAGGGAGGGAGGGAGGGAGGGAGGGAGGGAGGGAGGGAAAGAGGGAGGGAGGGAGGGCAGGAGGGAGGGAAAGAGGGAGGGAGAGAGGGCAGGAGGAAGGGAAAGAGGGAGGGAGGGAGGGAGGGAGGGAGGGAGGGAGGGAGGGAGGGAGGGAGGGAGGGAGGGAGGGAGGGAGGGAGGGAGGGAGGGAGGGAGGGAGGGAGTTATGGAGGCAGGGAGGGAAGATGCAAATCACTGTTCATCACTCCGTCCCCGTCCTGTGACATGCAGACCATGACATACCGACCATGACATACAGACCATGACATACCGACCATGACATACCGACCATGACATACCGACCATGACATACCGACCATGACATACCGACCATGACATACCGACCATGACATACCGCCCATGACATACCGACCATGACATACCGACCAGACATACCGACCATGACATACCGACCATGACATACCGACCATGACATACCGACCATACACCGACATGACATAACCGACCATGACATACGACCATGACATACCGAACCCTGACATACGACCATGACATACCGACCATGGACATACCGACCATGACATGAATTATCCGACCATGACATACCGACCATGACATACCGACCATGACATACCGACCATGACATACCGACCATGACATACCGACCATGACATACCGACCATGACATACCGACCATGACATACCGACCATGACATACCGACCATGACATACCGACCATGACATACCGACCAATGACAACCGACATGACATACCGACCATGACATACCGACCATGACATACCGACCATGACATACCGACCATGACATACCGACCATGACATACCGACCATGACATACCGACCATGACATACCGACCATGACATACCGACCATGGACATACCGACCATGACATACCGACCATGACATACCGACCATGACATACCGACCATGACATACCGACCATGACATACCGACCATGACATACCGACCATGACATACCGACCATGACATACCGACCATGACATACCGACCATGACATACCGACCATGACATACCGACCATGACATACCGACCATGACATACCGACCATACCGACCATGACATACCGACCATGAACATACCGACCATGACATACGACCATGACATAACGACCATGACATACCGACCATGACATACCGACCAGACATACCGACCATGAACATACCGACCATTGACATACCGACCACTGACATACCGACCATGACATACCGACCTATGACATACCGACCATTACATTACCGACCTATGACATACCGCCCATGACATACCGACCATGAACATTACCGACCATGACATACCACGACCAATGACATCCGACCATGACATACCGACCCATGACATACCGACCATGAACATACCGACCATGGACATACCGACCATGACATACCGACCATGACATACCGACCATGACATACCGACCATGACATCCCGACCATGACATACCGACCATGACATACCGACCATGACATACCGACCATGACATGCTGAGAGTCCTCCTGACCATGTCCCAACGACCCCGTGGGTGCAGGAAAGACCTGCGTGTGATTGCGCGGGACGTGGCCCGGTTCGGAAGGCAGTGCCCTGACGCGTCCCTGCACGGGCTCTACGGCCTCTTCAACAGGTGCGCTCCTCACCGCATCATGCCACCATCGGATGCCATGACATGCTGGGCTGGGGCATGGCGCGGGACATAGCATAGCATGGCCTGGCATGGCATTGTGTTGTGTGGCATCACGTGGCATAGGTTTGAAGGAACACGGGCACTCCTTACTGCTTTTGAGAATCCTTTTCCCCTCCCACCCCCTCGACCCCTCCTCCCCCCAAAAAATAAAATCTCATGCTTCATTTTGCCATCTCCTCTCCTCCATCCGTCCACTCCTCCGTCCATCCACCCTCCAGCCTACAGCCCCCACCCTTGCAACCAGTTCAGCAGCAGCAGGATCCGGAGGGGGATGATGACTGCTTGCAATGGAATGTGAAGAAGAGCAAGAGGGTGGCAGCGGAGGATAAGGCACGGCAGAAGGAGGGAAAGGGAGAGGGGCAGGGGGAGAGCAAGGAGGAGGTAAAGGAGGAGAGAAAGGAGGAGGAAAAGGAGGGGGTGGAGGAGGAGGCGCAGGGTACGGTGGTGGTGGTGTCGCAGGAGGAAGGGTTGGAGGTGGTCAGATGGCTTGAGCAGCACGCTTCGCTCGCATCTGTATGTTTTCGAGCCACTCGCTCCTCCAGCCCAACTGCCTGCCCGTTCTGATCCTTTTCCCTGCTGCTGCTCCTCGACTCCCGTTCTCCTCCTGCTGCTCCTAGACTCCCGTTCTCCTCCTGCTGCTCCTAGATCCCCGCTCTCCTCCTGCTGCTCCTAGATCCCCGCTCTCCTCCTGCTGCTTCTGCTGCCTCAAGCGTTTATTTCTTTGTTTGTGTGTGCATGGATGTGGGGAATTGCATTCTTGCGTTCTGCATGTATGCATGTGTGCATGTGTGCATATGTGGATGTGTGCATGTGTGCATATGTGCATGTGTGCATGTGTCCATGTGCCCATGTGTGCATGTGTCCATGTGTGCATGTAATCAGGAGCTGTACCATGAGATCACGAGCATAGAGCACATGTATAAGGCACTGCAGAAGCGTCTCAACGAGAAGCGCTCCACATCCAAGCCCAGCATCATTCGAGGTCCGCTCGTCTTGCCCTTCACTTCACTCCCTCCCTCTTTCTGCATCTTTGTTTTTTGTGAGGCGCCTCAAAAGCAACTCAGAAGCGCCTCAATGAGAAGAGGTCGAGGTCAAAGCACAGCACAGCACAGCATCATCCGAGGTGCTCTCATCTCATCTCGCCCTTCACAGACCCTATTCATCCATCGGTCATCCCTTATCTGCTCTTCACTCACTCTTCTTCCGCCCCATTTTGACTCCCTTCCCTTCCCCATTCACTCCAGTATCAGAAGCCCATTCATTTTTTTCTCCCATCTGTGAGCCTTATCCCGCTGTTCGCCCCGCCCCCGTTCACCCTCTCCCTCCCCCCCCCCCTTCCCAACCAAACCTGATCGTGCATCTGCAGTGGGAGCTGCTTTTCAAGATGCATCATTACTCCATTCCCGCCGCTCCTTCCACCTCTTGGGACTGCCCCCGTTGCAGACCTGATCGAGCACAGCACACACATGCAATCTGGTCTGAACTGGGTGCCAAGCCAAGAAGTACGCGTTTTGGCTCGTCTCAAAACGCCTTTCTTACCACCTTTCCCTTCCATTCCATCTCTGCATGCACCCCCGTGGCAGACCTGATCGAGCACATGCGGTCGGAACTGGATGCAAAGAAGGACGCAGTCAACAACAAGCGAGGGGGCAGCATATGGACCATGACCTTGGACGAGGTGGGGGTTGTGGAGGGGTGTGGAGGGATACGGGTGGGAGAGGGGGATGGGAGTGAGGGGATTACTGGGTGGTAAGGGCGGAAGAGGAGGCGGGATGTGTGAGCTGTGCATGGGAGGCGGAGGGAAAGCGGCCTGATTTAATGAATAGCAACTCTCAGTAGAGCAGGTTTTTGCCTGCACGTTGGTCCGTTTCCCACTCCATTTCTCTCTCGTTCTCTTCATGTACCCCCTCTCATTCCCTTCCCATCACATGACATCACATCACTTTCCCTCTTCCCCCCTGCTCTCGCTTCGTTCTTGTCTGCCTGCTCTATCCCTCTTTCCTCACCTCGAATTGTCCTTTCCCCGGGGCCTCACCTAACTCATGTGTGCACTGTGCTGATGGGTGCGCTGATGGGTGCGCTGGTGGGTGTGCTGATGGGTGTGCTGATGGGTGCGCTGGTGGGTGTGCTGATGGGTGTGCTGATGGGTGCGCTGGTGGGTGTGCTGATGGGTGTGCTGATGGGTGCGCTGGTGGGTGTGCTGATGGGTGTGCTGATGGGTGCGCTGGTGGGTGTGCTGATGGGTGTGCTGATGGGTGCGCTGGTGGGTGTGCTGGTGGGTGTGCTGATGGGTGTGCTGATGGGTGTGCTGATGGGTGTGCTGATGGGTGCGCTGGTGGGTGTGCTGTGCATGTGCAGGTGGTAGTGAAGCTGAGGGATGCGGTCATCTTCCTGCACGCGCGCATGCACACTGTCTTTGGCAAGCACGGTCAGTCAGTCTTTGGCAAGCACGGTCAGTCAGTCTTCAGATCTACCGCTAGGAGCCTTCCTGCGATTGCTGCGAATGGAACGCATTCGTTTCGTAGCTGAAACAAAGTGTCGTAACACAACGGTCGAAGAAACTCTTTCGATTCTGCACGAGGTCAGCCAGTGTCTGAAAATCTCCATGCACGACGTGTCCGGTCCGGGCCGTTCATCAAGGTTGTAGGTTGAGCGTGAGGGGGCGTCTAGACACCCTTTTCTCCCTCCCCCCCCTACACTCCCACCCCAAGTCCTCCCACACTCCCATTCCCGTCTCCTCCCACCCCTCCTACACTCCCACCCCTCCTACACTCCCACCCCTCCTTTCTCCCACCCCTCCTCACCCGCAGCGCACCTGTCAGCGCCGTTCATGGAGGCGAGGGAGAGGGTGCAGACGGGGGCGGAGCGCACGCTGGGGGAGGTGGGCATGGAGCTGCACTACGCTAACATCGTCACCATGATCGATAAGATTGTGCGTTGCGCTCCGTGTGTCTGTGTGTGGGGGGTTGTGCGTGTGCGGGTGCACGTGTCCGTGGGTGCGCTGGGGGAGGCAGGCATGGAGCTGCACTACGCGTCACCATGATCGATAAGATGGTGCGTTGCGCTCCCGGGTGGTCATCGTGTGTCTGTGTGTGGGGGGGTGTGCGTGTGCGGGTGCACGTGCTGGGTTGTGTGGGTGCGTGTGTCTGCATGCTTGGGGAGGCAGGCATGGAGCTGCACTATGCCAACGTCGTGACCACGATCGATAAGATTTTGCGTTGCGCTCCTCGGTGGTTATCGCTTTATGGGCCGTTCATTGGCGACAAGACAGTCTCTCTGTGTGAAGAGGAGGGGGTGTGGTGTGGGAGTGCATGTGCATGTGTGGGTGCGGTGTGGGTGCAGGTGCGGTTGTGTGCATGTGTATGTGCGTGCCATACCTTCAAGCAGACGTCCTGAATCTCTTTCCCGGACTCTTCCCCTGTTGGCCCTCCCTCTGCTCTCCCCTCTTCCCCGCAGGTGACGGGCAGGTCATTGGAGCACCATCGGGAGGCGTTGTACAGCGCGCTGCCTGGTAGCACTTCAAAGCTAGACTTCCTGAACCTCTCCCTCCGCCCCCTGCCCCTGCCGCCCCCCCCCCCTTTCTCCCTCCCACCTCCCCTTATCCCCGCAGGTGATGGGCAGGTCAGTGGAGCACCACCGGGAGGCGCTGTACAGCGCGCTGCCGCGGAGGGTGGTGCACGTGCTGCGGCGGCGGCTGCTGCGGTCGGAGGACGTGGCTCAGATGGGCACGGACGTGCTGCTGGCCCGCCTGGAAGGCGTGCTGGACTGGCTCGCCACCATGGCTGAAAACACCATCAAGTGAGCGCTGGGCCACGGGGGGGGGGGGAGATCAGGGAGGAGGGGGGGGGGGGTTGAGGGAGGGAGAAGGGGGTAAAGGTGGGGAGGAAGGGAAAGAAGGGGCAGGAATGGGGGTAGGAACTGGGGGGGGGGAGAGGGGAGGGGGGGTTTGAGGGGTCTTGGAAAGACGCAGTCGGAGGTCGGGGCTCAGATGGGCATGGACGTGCTGCTGGCCCGCCTGGAAGGCGTTCTGGACTGGTTTGCCACCATGGCTGAAAACACCATCAAGTGAGCCGAAGGGGTGGGTGGTGGGGGGAGGAGGAAGGAGAAGGGGGAATGGGAGGAAAGTGAAGGGTTTTAGAAGGTTGGGAATGGGGAAGCTTTGAATGGAGGTTGAGGGCGTGTGGTGGGCAGGCTGGTCGCCATGGTTGAAAATACCATCAAGTGAGCGTGAGACCCCGGGGGGAAGGTTGCGCTGGGGTGGAGGGGGAGGTAGAGGGATTGAGGGGAGGTAGAGGGATTGAGGGGAGAGGGAAGGGTGTGGAAATGGAAGTTCTGATTGGGTTGAGAGGGCGTGCTATACTGCCTCACAGTCGTTCAACCACACTCCCTCACATGTCTTCCCCTCACTCTCCCCCTTCCCTACATCATCCTCTCATCCTCTTGTTTCTCCCTCGCCTCTCACCTGTCATCCCTCACCCTAAACCCCGCGACCAGGATCGGAGTGGATCGGCGGTTGCAGGGGCACACGGAGCTGTCTCTTCTAGAGACGCTGTATTATGCGAATAAAAATATTTCTGATGTGCCTTATTAGCCCCTTCTGAACCTCCCCTTCCGTCCCTTCCTTCCCTTCCCTTCCTTGCCCGTCATCTCCCACCACCCCCACGACCAGGATCGGAGTGGATCGGCGGTTCCAGGGGCACATTTTTTAGTCAACTCAAAGGGGCACACGGAGCTGTCTCTACTAGAGACGCTGTTCCACGTGGGAGCTGTGAGGTGCCATGAAAACAACCCTCACCCTACCCCCCTCCCTCTCCCTTCCGTGCCTGTCATCTCCCACCCTGAACCCCGCGACCAGGATCGGAGTGGATCGGCGGTTGCAGGGGCACACTGAGCTGTCTTTTCTAGAGACGCTGTACCACGTGGATGAGAGGAAGCTGCAGGCACTGCTAGTGGATCTGCTGGTGGACCTGCAGCACTATGCCAGCCGGGAGGACGCCGATGACCCTGACTACGCGTGGGCGCCCATTCCCCGCTTCGCCATTGTCGCTGCTGTTTCCACGTGCGGCGGGGAGGAGAGTGCTGCTGCTGAAGCGCCAGGTGATGGTGATGGTGCTGCTGCCGCTGAGCCTACTGCTGCTACTGCTGCTGCTACTGCTGCTGCTGCTGCTGCTGCTGCTGCTGATGCTGGTCTGCTTGCAGAAGCGGCGCCTGTCACACAGGAACCCTCTGCTTCCATTGATGCTTCCACACCTTCTGTTGCTGCTGCCACTGCTGCTGGCGCTGCTGCTGCCTCGACTGCTGCTGCTGCCGCTGCTGCTACTGATGACGATGCTGGTGAGAGTGCTGCTGCCCCTGCTGGTGCTGATAATAGCGCTGACTCTGCTGGTGGTGTTGCTGAATCGGTCACGATTGACTCGCATTTACCTGCAGGGGGGAGCGTTCGCACTCCTTTGGAGGTAGCAACTGGAGAAAGCATGTTCGCTGCAACTGATGCGGCTGTTGCTGATTCTGCTGTTGCTGCTCCAACTGTTGCCGCTGCAGCTGCCTCAGCTGCTGCATCCACCCCTGCTGCCGCTGCTACTCCAGACGCCCCCGCTGCCTCTGTGGTGGAGGAGATCCCAGAACCTCACACCCCAACCTTCCCCCTCACGCCTCTCACCCCCCTCACCCCTTCAAGCGTTCCCTGGAGCGCCTTCTCTCCCCTCTCCAAGCCCATATCAGCACCACGAGGGGGGAGCGCAGCAGCAGCAGGAGGAGGAGGAGGAGGAGCAGGAGGTGGGGGAGGAGGAGGAGGGAGTGTGGGTGTGTCGCGTCGGGCAGGCCCTCCCCTGCCGATCCGCGTGTCCTTCCCATCCAGCAAATCCGTTTCCGCCTCCACTGCCTACGACTCTTCCAACCCCAAATCCCCCTCGGCTGCGTCGGCAGTATCTGACACGGCACTCTCTGTTTCAGGCTCGGGCCCAAACACGCCCACGCCGCTGTTCGGCAGCCATTCGCCTCTCTCCGCCTCCTCGCCAGCCTTCACACCCTCTGGCGCTTTCGATGCTGCTAGTAGCGTCACTGGCAGCATCACCCCAGGGTCTCTCTCAGGGTCCTATGCCGCTCGCAATGCTGCCTGCAGCTCGCTTGCGCCCTCGCGTGGGGCTGTTCGCTTCGCCAGCAGCGGCGGCTCCATTCCCCGCCCGCATCATCACGACAGCCGCAGACGCACCCGCAGCAACCGCGCCACCAGGTCTGCTAGTTCTGGCGCGCAGTTAGCAGTTATAGGAGGTGCGGGAGGAGCAGGATCAGGAGGATCAGGAGCAGGATCAGGAGCAAGTGCAGGAGGAGGAGGAGGAGGAGGAGGAGGAGGAGGAGGAGGAGGAGGAGGAGGAGGAGGAGGAGGAGGAGGAGGAGGAGGAGGAGGAGGAGGAGGAGGAGGAGGAGGTGGTGGAGGAGGAGGTGGTGGAGGGGGCTACCATGTTGCCATGTCGCTTCCCGCTGCGATGGTGCCGGGAGCAAAGGGAGGGTCAAAGGGAGGCCCGTTCAGTGGGTACGGCTTCCCAGTGAACCCGATTCACAGCTTCGAGCTGCCTTCCCACCGCCGAAACATCCCACAGCCGCTCCGCCTCTCAGTCCTGTCTGACTCGCCGTACCACGGCGGAGGCCTGGGCACGCCTGGGTTCTCGGGATCCGGAGGAGGGTTTTCGGAGAGTGCACCGTCCCCGTTGGCGCATCTTGTGGCGTCGGCAGCAGCGGAGGAGGGAGATGAGGACGCTATTCACGCCATGGCGTCGCCGCTGCCGCAGTGGCTGCCTGTTTCGTCGGCGTTCAGGGAGGAGGAGGAGGAGAGGCTGAGATCACGTGCGTTCTCGACTGCCAGTCCCACACCTGGTACCCCCACGGTGGTGCCGAGGATGCTGAGTCGGGCCATGCGCAAGTCTATGACTGACTGGGAGATGGGTCCCATGATTGATGCGCTCACCCTGGAGAGTGCCGGTGTTAGTGGCGCTGTGGCGGGTGCGGGTGTGGGCGGGAGTATGCATGTGACTAGGAGCTCTGAACGGCTGTCGGAGAGCTCTGGGGGTGCTGGGAGGGGAGGATGGGGCGCAGCAGGCGGGGGGGGAAGGGACGGGGATGGATTAAAGGGGTCTGGTCAGCGGTCATTCCTGGCGGTTGGTTCTGGTGGATACTCGGGAGTGGGGGTGGGAGGAAGCGGGTTGGGTGAGAGCTTTGGTGGGAGAAGTGTGGGTGGGAGTCTGACCGGCAGTGCTGCAGGTAGCGCGAGCGGCAGTGGCGTGCTAACTGCTGTCATATTCGAAGGTCAAGCAGGAGACGACGGGACAAGCCCAATGGGAGGACGGCCGGTCACGGCAACACCCAGCAGCGGCGGCAGCAAGGGCTGGGCGTGTGGGAGCATGGAAGGAGGGGGGTGGAGTGGAAGGACAGGAGGGAGCAGCCAGGCAGGCAGCGCAGCAGCCACCCCCTGTACGCCTGCTAGCTGGCGTCTCCGCCCCATGGCTCCTCTTCTTGTGGATGTGGACAGGATTGATGATGATGAGAATGGTGCTGCGCTCATTGCTGCTGCTGTGGGGGGGAGCTTGCTTACGGATGGAATGGGTGCAGAGGAGGAGCGGGGAGAGGCGAGTGAGGGGGGCACGAGTGTGGGGCCGAGCCCGAGGGTGGCGGAGGTGGGAAGGGAGGACAGTGGGCGGAGTGTTGGTACTACTGGGCTAGCCCACGAGTGATGTCTGGAGAAAAGACCGCTGGTGTTGCTGCTGCTGTTGCTGCTTCTGCTGCTGGTGCTGGTGCTGGTGCTGGTGCTGCTGGTACTGGTGGTGCCAGTGCCGGTGGGTCTAGCCTGGGGCCGAGCCCCAGAGGATCCAGATGAGGAGTGGCGGTGAAGGGCGTGGGGATTGAGGTGAAACCAAGCAAATGGGAGGAGATTGTTGAGGTGCGGGTGGTGTGATTCTTGTGGGTTGGTGGTGGCGCAGGGTTGCGATGGAGAGATAGGGAAGCAGGGGTGGTGGTCGGTAGGAGAGGCAGGGTGGCAGTTGCACCAAGGAAATGTTTGGTGATGGGCACTGTGTGGAATGGAATGGTGGTAAATGGGTGCGAGAGGTGTAGGCTGGTGTGTGGGGAAAGAAGTAACCAACAGTGCAACGGGAATTCGCCTCATTATTTAATGAGCGCATTGCTATACATATTGTCCGTTCCTCAACCCTCTCTGCACCCTTGTGACTGGTTTGTTTCTTGATAACATGCACTGATTTAGTACCGTATGCTGGTTTGACTGGTCTCTTGTTGCCTCTGAATTCTGACTAAGAGTTTGTTAAGTTTCTGTTGGAAACAAGTGATTTCAACGCTTCTGTCGTATCGAAGCTTCAACACGAAACGGAGCTGACTACAGCAAAGAAGCACTCGAGTCAACCAAGGCAACCGTCGGAGGTTACGCGAAGGTCAAAGGTCTCCGACCTTTGACTTGACAAAACGTACAGTGCGACAGCAATGACACATAACTGACTCGTTACTGAGCAGTTACCCGAGTCGGCACTGTATCGAACCGCAACAGCAAAATAGTTAAAATAGAACTCTTCATATTCCTTGTAATCATATAAAAGACTTGTATCTCTTTGCTATTATTCAACTTATCTTGTTCTCACACACCAATACAAGGTGGTTCAAGGCAAACTCTTATTTAACGCTTTCGCAAATTACATCTCTACGTCAACACATGATCTTAGTCCTGAAAGATCCTAAGGGCTTTTCTCAGCCCAACATGGTATGAGAGCAGGCAGGACAATATCACTTTTTCAAAAAATTTCAAACACAAGTCATGGGTACACAAAAGGAGAGGACCTCCTCCAACGGATCTCTCGGCACCACCCCTACTCCACCTCCAGTCTCTGGCCTACAGACAGAATAAGGCACAAGACCAGCTGCAGAGTCAACGGAAACTCTCGGGAACCAACAAGCAGGCTTCGACCCAAACATGATGGAGAAGTTTTTCTCCTTCATGTCCTTCTACGAGCAACACCAGCAAGCAGCTCCTGCGGAATCAAACAACAGCGACAACAACAACAGAGCAACTCCGATGAGCCTCGACGGTTCATCCTATGCGCGTGGAAATCAACAACAACCTACCTTTGCCCCGTATGAGCCTCAACGCGGCTCCGTCAGTTTCGCGCCGCAGCCGCAGTCTTCACCTGGACAAGAGAAGACACTGGACGCGCTTCAGGTGCAATCGCAATTCGCACACATCCTAAAATTGCAAACATCAACACTCTTCGACGGGAAAGATTTTTATACCTGGTCATTCGAATTCGAGCTGATGACATACTCGGATTCTTCGACGGGTCCCTGCCATATCCGGCACACGGGACACAGTACGACAAGCAGCAATACACGTATCAGTCGCTGATGGCGTATACGATACTTCTTCGAAAATTAACGCCAAACGAGCAACAGAACATCCGGTCTTATCGAGGATACGGCAACTCCGCCGAGCTGGCATACGATCATCTGAAGAGCCTGTATCAAGCAACAGACAGTGTTAACCAGAGTCGTCTCATGGCACAGTTGACAACAGTGGAAATGAAACCCGGCGAAAAGGGAATGGCTTATATTAGCCGTTGTCGCGGACTGCGCGACAGACTCCTTCGATGCGGAGGGTCAATTTCGGAAGAAGCATTTGTAACAGTCATCATCGCCGGTCTTGGTCCTCATTGGCGCTCCACTCGAGCACTTCTTCGAGCTCACGGGAAGATCTCCGAAGCAACACTCTACGCCGAAATTCACGCCGAACAGCAGGATATGGACATGCACGAAGAACGACACAAGAAGAAAGCGTTAGCACCGGAATTCGCCTTTCATACTCAATGACGCTACAACAACAGCAACAACCGACACAACAATCGACAAGTACAACAGTACGTCCCACCGTTTTGTCATCTTTGCAAGATGTCCGGTCATCCACGCACACACTGCCCGAATCAGCAGCAGTCGACAACACCGCAACGTCAACTTCGGCCTTCAAGCAGTCAAGTAGCCTCTATGCAGGCGCATCCCACCAGTCAAGTGCAGCCTTCAACATCTTCAATATCGCAATCTGCACAAAGAACAAGAAACATCGTTAGCTGCATGACAAGAACAACTGACTCCTGCATCACCGGATCACCACCCCACTACTCACCAGAAGACCAACTCGATGAAAGGACTCCCCGCCGCGAATCACTAGAGCCCAATCCGACGTATGCAGCTATCGCCCAAAGCGAGCCGTCCGGGCAAGACACTTGGTTCTTGGACAGTTGTTGTGGACAACATATGTGCTCTTCAAGTCGTTTTGTTCAACAAGAACATCAACTTCAGCGCGAAGTCGTCATCACTGTGGCTAACAACCAGAACCTGCACACACGACGACAAGGAGTAGTACAACTTCAGTCCCGAGAAACTAACGTCATCCTACAAATGTCTAAAGTACTGATTGCAGAAGGACTCGGCTACAACTTACTGAGCGTCAGCCAACTGATGGCGAAGGGTATTCATCTTGAAGCAGACAGCACCACTCAGGAATTCAAGCTATTCCACGGTAGAAGAGGACTCTACATCGACAGAGCAGTCTTGAAGAATAACGTCTTCGTCCTCGACTTTGTACCAGATCAAGGAACCGCCGATAGCGACGCCATCGTCAACTTCGCCTCTTGGACGCACACACCGGACCTCGATCCCGACTTCAGCCCTGGAGGGTTCTGGTATTCACATACCATACCTGAAGCAGAAAGAATACGGGCATTAGCAACAATCCGGCAAGAAGAAACAACATCGACAGCAGGAGAGACAACATCGGCAACAACAACAACACTTACAACACCAATCGCGAGCTCTTCGACGGCACCAACACTCGTCGACGACACTCCACCGACTCCTGCGCAGCAGTTAGCTCCCACTCCACAAGAAGTTCATAGAAGCGCCAACTTCACCGCCGCCTTTTACTCCAACTCTGATCTGTACAGGCGCTCACCCGGACATCGTGCAAGCGAATCCCTGTGGCACGAACGACTGGGTCATCCAAGCAACACCACGTTAAACAATACAATCAAGGCAGCAGTGCTTGACAAAGACTCACTCCTTCTACCCGACGGCAGAGAACTCCAACGATTCCGTGGAACATGTTTTACCTGTCCCGAAGCCGACTTACCGCATCAACCGTTCGTCTCTCACCACAATCCAAGCGCACCAGCTTATGCACCACTTGAGAAAGTATACAGCGACATCCTGTATACTAGCGAACAGGGACAAGGGCCATACAATTACGAGATTACTTTCATCGACGCCGCCACCCGTTACGTCTGGCATCTTAATCTACCAAGTCGCGACATGGCCTTCGAAGCCTTCGTCGCCTGGCTACTTTTGGCAGAACGAGAATCAGGAGCAAAGCTGAAAAGCTTCCAGTCTGACGGAGGAGGGGAATATCAGTCCCAGAGGTTCAGGTAGTACCTCGCAGCACGAGGTATCAAGCGACTCATCTCGCTTCCCTACGCCCATCAACAGCAAGGCGTGGCAGAACGGATGAACAGAACTCTCCAGAACACCATGCGCAAATTATTGCGTGGCATGCGACTGCCCAATCACCAGTGGCCTGAAGCGATGGACCACGCTGTCATGCTGCACAACTTGCTTTCGTCGTCATCACTTCCGAACAACGCATCACCGCACCTGCTGTGGACAGGAAAGCTGGGCAACACAAAAATGTTACGACTTTTCGGGTGCATGGTACAGTACCGCCCGCACACTGCAAGAGCCGGCAGATATTCTCAACGCGCACAGTGGGGACTACACCTGGGCATCGAAAAGCATTACAACGCATGGAAGATTTTTGACGTCCACTCGAAGGAAACAGTAGCAGCACGTGATGTCATCTTCTACGAGCGACTCATACTTCAAACGTACCTGGACAACCTGGCTTCCGTGGCAACCGAGCCTTCGCTTCAGCAGCAGACGGAGCTGACTGGGACGAGCAAAACGTGGACAACACATCCGAGGAAGCAGGACCACTCCCATACTGCTCCGTGCCCATCCCGATGGATGACGAAAATCCTCGCGAAAGTGTCAACGCCGAAACTTACTTCGATTTCGCTGACACTTGTTACGTAACACCCCAACCGGTCGACACCAACATCTCCGAACGCATAGGACCGAATTTTTTACCAGACCCTGAAGCAGGAGACGAAGCAGCTTATCCAGAGGACATAAATCTCCCCCGCTGCACACAGAGTGGCCTGCAGATACTGGGACTCGTCACCGCTGTCCACGGAGCAGAACCACCTAAGGAGCCTGCTACAATTCAGCAGGCTCTGGGGGGGGAACACAGGGAAGAATGGCGTGAAGCCATGGACAAAGAGTTGAAGGCGCTGCAGGAACGCAACACTTGGAAAGTCGTGCCTATCGGAGTGGCACGCAACAAAACTATCCTCACCGGAAAATGGGTTTTCCGCGTGAAAACAAAAGCTGACGGAACAACCGACAAGTTCAAAGCACGCTGGGTCGTGCGGGGCCTCGACCAAGAGCAAGGGCGAGATTTTACAGAAACATTCGCCCCAGTAAGCCGACATACCTCACTGCGGATTCTTCTCGCGATCGCCGCCATGAACCGGAAGAAGCTTTGACAAATCGATGTCGCCAATGCCTTCCTCTACGCCCCCGTCGACGCTGAGATTTTCGTCGAACTCCCGCACGGGTCCAACGCAGG